GTAAGATTGAGCCACATCAATAAAAGTGACTTACTAAACAGGTCACTTTTTATAATTATGAGCCAAAATCATATTTCTTCATAACTATAATCAAATTGATCATAACTTAGTTATAACCACATCTCATAACTAACACCATTTTGTTCATAACTAATATCACATATTTCATAATCACATCTCATAACCAAAACTATTTTGTTCATAACTAATATCACATATTTCATAACCATAATCACATATCTCATAACCAATACCGTTTGGCTCATAACCACACCACTTTGATTATAACCAATATCACATATCTCATAACTATTGATTACATATCTCATAACTATTACCCACACGAATCATAACCACATCTCATAACCAACCCCTTTGAGTCATAACCAATATCACATATCTCATAACCACTAGTTATATATCTTATAACCAACATCTTTTTGTTATAACCAACATCACATATTTCATAACCACTAGTTACATATCTCATAACTAACACTCTTTTGCTCATAACCACATTATTTTGATCATAACCAATATTACATATCTCATAATCATTGATCATATATCTCATAACTACTACCCATGTGAATCATAACCACATCTCATAACAAACCCCTTTGAGTCATAACCAACATCACATATCTCATAACCACTAGTCACATATTTCATAACCAACACCTTTTTGTCATAACAAACATCACATATCTCATAAACACTAGTCACATATCTTATAACTAGTACCCTTTTGCTCATAACTATACCACTTTAATCATAATCAATATCTCATATCTCATAACCATTAACATATATAGCATAACCAAACATCCTTTGACGCCACTTTGCTCTTAACCAAAATCACATATCTTATAATCACTAATCAAATATCTCATAACCATTATCCACATATTTTATAACCAACATCACATATATCATAACTACTAATCACATATCTCATAACCACAGTACTTTGATCATAACCAACATTACATATCTCACAACCACTAATCACATATCTCATAACCAAACACCTTTGACTTATAACTACACCACTTTGCTCATAACCAAAATCATATATCTCATAATTAGTAATCATACATCTTATAACCTTTACCCACATATGTCATAACCACATTTCGTAAGCAATATCTTTTGCCTCATAACCAACATCACATATTTCATAATCACATATCTCATAACCACTACCTACATATAAAGGTGTAAATTTGGCCCATGAGCTCGTGGCATACCCCAAGTCCGCTTGCGACCTGGGTGGGTCCAACCAGGCCTAAGCCTAAACCCAACCCAAGACCCTAGGCTCTGTGTTCTAGAGCCTGGCCTGGCCTGGCCCTGGTGTGTTATGGAGTGTGACCTATCTTGTGAGCTCGGCCCGAATTTTTTTTCCCTATCTAGCTCGACCCAACCCCAACAGCTTCCTGCCTCCTTGTCAGTGCAACGATAAAAAATTAAAAAAAAATTAAAACAGTCATATAATCGTTAATTCCACCAACAACCAATTTAAATTTTTATTTATATATATATAAATTAGCCCCTCCCTCCTAAGTCCAATAAATACCACCCCTCTCTTTTTTTATTTCTCACAAACAAATCTGTCTCTCAAACTCTCAACTCTCTCAATTAATTTTGAAGTGTCATTCCTAAGTGACAATTGCAATTGATCACATATCTCTATTTTAGATTTATTTTTAGTCATAGTATCTTCATTAAATATAATAAAAATAGAAATATACAAATGATATACTTTTTAAGTATCTATATACACTTATAGACATATATATATATATATAATTTAACTAAATTTTAATAAAAAATATGTTTAAAAAAAATCTATGATGTGATTTTATTTTGTTCTACAAAATAATTTGTCTCTTAAAATTTTTTCCCAACTTTTCTTCGTTTTTTTCTCTACTCTATTTTCTTCTCCTTGATTTGTCCTAGTTGTGCCTGAGCTCTCTCTATTTCTTACTCAGACTTCTCTATTTCGCTCAAATTATCGAAGGACCATCGTTGATAATTCTTTCTCACTAGATTCTTCCTTTCTCTACTCATGTGTCTCTGCAATAGATTCTTGAACTCGTCACTACTCTCTTTGTCTATTTCAATACTATTCATTCTGGTGATATTTCTCTATCTAGTAAATGCATTTATCTCAAAACTCTAGCTCTTTCACATTAATATGTTATACATACATAAACATTTGACCGTAGTTATGATTTGAAAAGTTTTGTTATTATCAATTTGTACATGTGTTATAGAACTGTTGAAAAATGAATATTACGCATTTTGTTTACTGTTTTACTATCTCAGTCCTCTTCATCCCTCGAGCATCTCTCTCATTCCTTACTGTCACTATAGTTATCTCCGATGTTCCTTATCGGAAACGACACCACCTTTGACGTCATTTTCATAGGCGACCGTTCAGTCTCTCTTTCTCATATTCCCTTTCCTATCGCTCTACTTGTTAATCTTCTCTAACTCTCATTTTCTATTCCATGGCTTTAAGTTGCTGATTAAATTATTTAATAATTGTCATTACATTTTGTTTTCTCTATATCATGAGAGATCCCGATTGGTGATTCTAGGGTTTTTAGTGATTTGTTAGTCATTTTATGATACTTATTATGAAATTTTGTTACTTGATTACAATATTTGTGGTTTATAAAAAAAATTGGATATTTTTGCTACATCACAATTGGTTGTGTTGTTATGCATTTGGTGATTGATGTTATGAAATTTTATGAGTTGGTTATGACATTTGTGATTTGTAAAAATTTTGATTATTTTTGTTATGTCAGTTAATGATGCAGTTACGCATTTTGTAGTTGATGTTATTAAATTTTGTGAGTTGGTTATGATATTTGTGGTTTTTAAAAATTTTAGATGTTTTTATTACAGAAATTAGTGGATAATTACATAATTTTTGATTAATGTTACAAAATTTTGGAAATTAGTTACGACATTTTTGATTTTCTATAATTTTAAACAATTTTGTTACGCCAATTAGTGATGACGTTATGTATTTTGTGCTTTATATTATAAAACTTTGGGACTTAATTACGCTACATCACAATTAGTTGTGTTGCTATGCATTTGGTGATTGATGTTATGAAATTTTATGAGTTGGTTATGACATTTGTGATTTGTAAAAATTTTGACTATTTTTGTTATGTCAGTTAGTGATGCAGTTACGCATTTTGTAGTTGATGTTATTAAATTTTGTGAGTTGGTTATGATATTTGTGGTTTTTAAAAATTTTGGATGTTTTTATTACACAAATTAGTGGATAATTACATAATTTTTGATTAATGTTACAAAATTTTGGAAATTAGTTACGACATTTTTGATTTTCTATAATTTTAAACAATTTTGTTACGCCAATTAGTGATGACGTTATGTATTTTGTGCTTTATATTATAAAACTTTGGGACTTAATTACGATATTTGTGATTTCTAGAATTTTAAATATTTTTAATACACTAATTAATGGTGTGATTATACATTTTGTAGTTGATGAATAAAATAATTTTTTTTAATAATTTTACTTAATAAAAATAGATGAAGAATTTATATTAAAAATAAATGAAAAAATTTATGTATAAATTAACAAAATTATAAATTAATATTATAAGACTCCTTTTTTATAAACATCCCCCCAAAATAATTTTCTACAAAAATTATTAATTGTTGTTGACAAATCCTAGACCCTTTCTTCAGCCCAAACGTTATCAGAAATTACTCTCTCTCTCTCTCTCTCTCTCTCTCTCTCTCTCGGTCGTCGCTGCTGCCCCTTGCCACCGCCGAGATCGGTTTTGCTTTCGTCGCCGCATTCGCCGCCACGGAGAAAAGCTCCCAAAGTTGTTGACGAAGATCTCTACTGGATCTCGGCGGAGCTCCTCCACCGAAGAGTGAGTTTATTCCTCTGCCCTTTTCTTTTCCTCCTCGTTTTAGTAAGCTACATGCCTCAATGTATCTCTCTCTCTCTCTGTCTGTCTGTCTGTCTGTCTCTCTCTCTCTCTCTCTCGCTCGCTCTGCAACTTGTTTCTCTCCCTTTCTCCATCTCCATTCTATGAAACCCTAGACCGAAATCCCCTTCTTCGAAACTGCTCCTTTCACCTTTGTGAACTCACTGGGTTGGTTTATAAAATTAGGAAAATATGATTTGAATAGGTTTAGGTTTTTTATGTTTGTTTGCTTTGGTAGTTGTTTTGATTCGATATATATATATACTTGAAATGTGGCTTGACTGTGTGAAATCTGATGTGTGGGTAATTGGATTTTGTACTCATGTAACTGATGTGAGACTGTAATTTTTTTATTTGTTTATTGAAATCTGTTGATGTGTCTAACAATTACTCTTGTGGTGGCTTGATTTTCCTATAAGAAAGAAAATTAAAGTGGTTTGGGATGTATTACCTTTAGCAATTTTCTGGGAATCGTGGAAACTGTGAAACAAATGGATATTTTGATGTTACTGTATAAACCCATCAAGGTTTTATAGTTCACAAGCTCACAGACAAACAATTGGATATTGTTAGTTCATCAAGATGCATTCAGAGAAGTTGATGCAATTCGATTTGGAATGATTAATATTTGTTCTTGTAGAGCCAACTTATTCTATGGAACTAATTGATTTATTAAAAATCCAAGAAGACAAATTGTTATATATAAGATACCTTTAGCAATTTTTTGGGAACTGTGAAAAGTGAGAAACAAATGTTTGTGTAATGATGGTCATCTAGATTGGATCAAGGTTCAGGAAAGAATTATTTCAAATGTGCCTATATGATTCAAATCCAATAAACATTTGAAAGTCTTCTCTGCGAATGATTTTATGTTTAATTATCAAAGTATTAAGGATTGTGCCCCTCATTAAATGTACATATCATGTACACCTTACTTTGAAACCATTAGATATCTATAAATTAATTTGAACCATAATTTCATTAAAAAAATTGAATAGCTTCTCAATTGGAAACTTTTTTTTTTATTTTTTATTTCCCTTTTACTGATTGTGCTTCCCCCCTCCCCACAAAGGCTCACGTTGTTTTGCCAAAACCCTCATGTGATTTGGTCCAAAACCCTTCCGTTTTCAGACACAACTCCAGCGATCTTGTCCGCCCTAGAAGACCATCCCGCGAAGTGCATCTTTTTCACTGATTGTTCGATATCTATTTTCTACATGTAAAAACTTTGCCTGAAGGTATGAATCTCTGACTATGTCTCTCTTTGCAACTCGTTTCTCTCACCTTTCTTCAACCGTATTCTATGAAACCCTAGACCAAAATCCCCTTTTGTTAACCCTATTTCTTTTCCCGATTCTTGTTTCCCCTTCTTCAAAACTGCCTCACTTGGAGTGGTTGCTTTCTAAATTTAGGAAAATATGATATGAATAGTTTTTATTTTTCATGTTTGTTTGATTTGTTAGTTGTTTTGATTACATGTATATAGATATACTTCAAATTTGGCTTGGGTTTGTGAAATCTAATGTGTGGTTAATTGAATTTTGTATTCATGTAACTGATATGATATTGCAATTTCTTAGCTATTTGTTGAAATATGTTTATATTTATAATTTTTCGTTTCTTGTTATGTTATACTTCTAATATTGGTGCTTTTGGGCTATGGTTGAATGTAATATTCCCCTTCTGGATTAATAGTTGCATATTTTGCCTCCGCATTTGAGGATTTTTATTTGATTGATATACAATTCTTCTCATGATTGGATGCTGTTGGTGCATTATCTGTGCACATATTATTTTAATATTAATTTTATTTTTGTTTGGAATTCCTTCAGATTGAGTAGGGGTCTGGTTAACATTCAACTCAATGTAATACATAATGAATGGGAAAACCAATGACTTTCTATATAAATTTAGACAAAAAATATTCTTTATTATACCAACATGCGCAACACACCCAATGTATAATATTAAAAAATCCAATGGCTTTCTGTTGTCCCAAATAAAGAGTAAGAGATGAAGAATTTATAGAATAGTGATAAAATGTAAATCACATTACCGGAGAAGAGAAAATTGAATACATAACAACAAAAAACAGTTTCAAAATATATTTTGCAAAATATTGGAATTTAACAATTTTATTAGCTATCATTATTAGCATCGTCAATAATCTTTGTAATAAGATTTTGGAATTTTATAAGAATATGATTTCTATGATGTTCAAATCAAAACATCCGATTTTCAAAAAGGCTTTATGAAGATTGGAAAATCCAATAACAACAATCACATAATCAACCTAATTAAAAGCAACTCATCTTTCTCTTTGACGTAGAAAATTACTAGGAATGAAACTAAGTTATGCTTTTTAAGTAAACAACAATTCTACATAACTAGAAAAAAAAATTTGAAAAATGTATAGAATTTGAAAAGGTTGGATCAGATTGATATAGGGTGTGGTCCACATCGCATCAAGTTAAATCAATACCAAACATTCAAATTCTAGAAACTTTTCTACATACGAATCATTTATGTTAAGCAAGAATCATAACCAAAACCCTAGTTGCTGTCATTTATAATTACTCACTTTATGATATATAACTTCATGTAACTATGACATATGGACTGATATTGGCTCAAATCATTTGGAAAATACACTCCCACATTTTTATTTTATTTTAATTTTTTTTGGAAAATAATAAACTAGCACAAAAGAAGAAGAACAAGAATCATAACCAAAGCCCTAGTTGCCGTCATTTATAATTACTCACTTTATGATATATAACTTCATGTAACTATGACATATGGACTGATATTGGCTCAAATCATTTGGAGAATGCACTCCCACATTTTTATTTTATTTTAATTTTTTTTTGGAAAATAATAAACTAGCACCAAAGAAGAAGAAAATTATGTGAATGTGCTTTGCTTTCTATGACGCTGAAACCATCATATTTCCTTAATGTTATGTTTGGATCATGTATTTAGCTAGGGATTTGGAAAGGGAAAGGGAAAGGGAAAGGGAAAAGGTATGTAAAATGTAATTATAGTTCATTGACATTTCACCCACATTTTCCCATTTCTTTTTCAAATCTCTACTCATATCTATGATCCAAACACAACATAAAGGTTCTATCACGATCAGAAAATCCAATAACAATAATCCAAATCCAGTAGTCCAATAGTTCAATAGGCCGGATACGAAGTTTTCAAAAAATAATCCAATAGTCCATCCATTTAGAAGCTACTCAGTTTCACCTTTAACATAGGAAACTACTAGGAAATTAACCAAGTTATGATCTATCAAATAGTCCAATAGTTCATCCAATCAAATAATTTTTGTTTGTATATATTTTTATTTAATTTTTTGTTGAAATGGTCAAACGGTTGGTTGTGGTACATTTTTTTAAGTGTTCATTAATGTAATGGTTATTGATACTTTGAACAAAGGTGGTAGACTTTCATCTCTGTTATTGCTTATGCAGTTTGTTAATGTGAAAAGATGTGCAAAATAATATTTTTCGTACATAGATTCTTTCTTTTCTCCCCATAATGGTTAATTTACTTAAGTATTGTCTTCTTTACTAACTTTGTTTGGATGTTCTATTTTTGTTTGTCATAGGTCCTCAATTTCTCCATCTTAACGTAGAAGTAAAGCTATACCTCCTCCATCCCTTCCTCCCTAGTGGTTGCATTAGCAGGTCTACTTTTTAGTTTATTTGCTTTTAATTCATAGCAGGGCACTGGCGGGTGTGCTTTTTTTTATTTATTTTAATTTGTTTATTTTAATTGATAGTAGGATACTTGTAGGTGTACTGCCTTTTTTTTTTATTATTTTTTAAATTAATAGCTGGGCACTGGCGGGGAGGTAGGGCTCGCAGCCGCGACTCTGAGACTTCTGAACAAGCACAACATGCAATATCACCAAGTGCTCAACTGGTGACGTCTGAGTCTCAAGGTCGGTCAAAAATGGGGTGTCTACACTCCTCCATCCCTTCCTCCCTAGTGGTTGCATTAGCAGGTCTACTTTTTAGTTTATTTGCTTTTAATTCATAGCAGGGCACTGACGGATGTGCTTTTTATTTTATTTTAATTTGTTTATTTTAATTGATAGTAGGATACTTGTAGGTGTACTGCCTTTTTTTTTTTTTTTTAAATTAATAGCTGGGCACTGGCGGGTGTGCTATTTTATTTATTTGTTTCATTTTAATTGATAGTAGCGTACTTGCTTCTGTGTTTTTGAATTTATTTGTTTTGAATTGGTAGTAGGGCACTGGCGGGTGTGCTTTTTTATTTGTTTGTTTATTTTAATTGATAGTAGGATACTTGCGGGTGTGCTGTCTTTTTTTTTTTAATTAATAGCAGGGCATTGGCGGGTGTGCTATTTTATTTATTTGTTTGATTTTAATTGATAGTAGGGCACTTGCTTTTGTGTTTTTGAATTGATTTGCTTTAATTGACCAATATATCAAAATTCAATTTTTTATGATTTCGTTAGAGATGGATACAACGGTATGAGCTACTTTTTGCAATATAGATTGTGCATTCCTGAATGGGAAAGTAGGATGAACCAACCTATTAGAAAAGAGGTAGAGGTGAAAGGTGTCATGTCACATGCATTATAAGGTATTTAATTGAGGTTAAGAATAATTAAAACAATATGTATGCCATTCAAGGTTAGAGAAACACTTAATTTATCAGGAAAACAATATGTTTCACTTAGTAACGACATGTTATTTCAACACCAGCATAGCAAACAATGATATATACTTAACACTAGCATAGACAACAATGCTATGTACGCCATATGGTGAGAATTGGAAATACTGCACACGAGAAATTTCTCCCAAGAAACAAGAAATAAATATATAAATCAAATAATGAAAGAAAGTTTCACCAGCACAAACACCTTCAAATCATCTTTGAAATAGGCCAATGTTTTTACGAAAGCCAGGTGAAGAAAAGATTCACCTAAATACTAAACTGGGAATACCTCTTTAATTTCACCTCTTTAATACTAAACTGTTGGTACTATGACATCTCATTGTTGATGTCATCGTACAAGATGAAGTTGTTATGCATGTTTGGCCTATTTAAAAAAACTTATTATATATGTTTGGGAGTTTCCGGCAAACATAACTGAAACTCGATTTTGCTTAAAGTCAAGTAGAACGCATGTTTTATTGTGGACCACAAAGAAGGTAAAACAATTTCCCTATTTTGTGTGTCTATATATAATGTTGATACTTGAGTATAGATTTTAAGAAATTGAGATTAATGACATGAGTCGGTTACTATGGTGCTTTGACATACAATTAAGAATGTACAATTGGGAAATGTTGAAATCCTAAATGATCAAGTCGTGGATTTATGATTTAAAGAAACCATTGTGCTTGGGATGTGATACAATTTTTAGGCCTAGCGATCCAAACTCTAGGTGAGTGGTGATATTTGAATTTGGAGCAACATCAATGGTTGTCCGGGTGATTCGTATGTCTTTTTCATTTGGCTTGATAGCATGTGTAGTTAGCTTTAACATAAGCTCCTATGCTTTCTCAAGTCTAATCATATGGAGGCTTCTTAATTTATTTGCTTTTAATTAATAGCAAGGCACTGGCGGGTGTGCTTTTTTATTTATTTGTTTATTTTAATTGATAGTAGGATACATGCGGGTGTGTTGTCTTTTTTTTTTTTAATCAACAGCATGGCACTGGCGGGTGTGCTATTTTATTTATTTGTTTCATTTTAACTAATAGTAGGGTACTTGCTTCTGTGTTTTTGAATTTATTTGCTTTTAATTGATAGCAGGGCACTGGCGGGTGTACTTATTTATTTGTTTGATTTTAATTTATAGTAGGGCACTGGCGGGTGTGCTTATTTATTTATTTTTTTAATTTTAATTGATAGTAGGGTACTTACAGGTGTGCTTTTTTATTATTTGCGTATTATTGATAGCAGAGCACTGGCTGGTGTGCTTATTTGTTCATTTTCTTTTAAGAATTAATAATTGATAGCACAGTATTGGTAAACTTCGTACAATGCATTAAAATAAGGGGATTTTCAATGACTTTGTCATTAATGGTAAGTCAGGTTATGTTTTCAATAGCTATGTCATTAAATCTATGTACATTATTCTATTATTGTTTATGTCTGTTATTTGCTCTTTTACAAAATTCTCTTATGTGATTTTAGGAATTTTTATTCATTTTGTAAAACAATGTTATTCTTTTCGTATTGTTTTTGATGTAGTTATCATGGATCCTTCCAGAAGTACTAAATTTGAGCATACGATGATGAAGTTTGTGGGAATAAAAATGGGTTAGGTTCCCATGCAAATCACCCTATTCAAAGTTTAACCAAGAATGATGTTCTTGAAATGCAATTCAATTCAGAACGTTGCCAGCGGTCATCCACCCGGACGTCCGGCCAGATGACTGGGCAGTCAACCGCCCCTTTGTGGGCCGACCTCTTTGGCTTGCTGCTTTGATCTGCTGCTTTCATGCTGCTGCTCTCTTTTAATTTTGCTGCTTTGGTGCACTGTTTTAGTACTTCTTTAAGCCACATTTTTAACTCCAAAATGGCATGATTAGAATAGAAACAGAATTAAAATGAAAATATAAACAATCATCAAAAACAATAATGTCTAACAGAAGGGAAAGCAAAAAGCTTTACCCTAAGAATGCTTCTAAACTTTATATATATATATATATATTATGGATTGCTATACTTTATATAGAATATTTTTGGAATAAGAAAAACCTTAATCAGTCAATAACCATTTTTTGCATCCAATAAAAACTCAACCACATAATTAATAATTGCAAAATATCATCCAAATAATAAAGTAGGTTGGTAGACCGAGACCTGAATAGTTGTATGTTTCCATTATGAAGCAAAGCCAAAGCAATATGTATCATATGACAAAGGTCCACAAACACCTTCAAAAGCAAAAATCGAAACATAATAGTATTAATTAGGCGGCATTGACGTGCTTGGCAATGGTAGCAACTTGTCTTTGTTCGCTTCCACAACCTTATCCACTATCTTCTCTTCTTTTAGGATCACGAAAGTCGTATAGCCTCTACTTCCTTTTCCATTCACCCCTAGCTCTGAGTGCTGCACAAGATAGCACGCTTTAGAATATAATTTTGTAACAATGGTTGCATTATAAACTCAAAGTTCACTAATTTAAGAAATGCAATAGCGTTATTGATTGTACGAAATCATGAAAAATAAAAAAGAACAGAGCATCACCAGCTTTATATTGCGCGATATCACTAACAATATCAGTTGAATTATGCTTGTATATCACAAGATCAAGTAACAAGTGAGCCCTATGCAAATAGTCAAACTACATGCCAAAAGTAGTGAGTACGTAAAAAAATCACACATTATAAAATTAGTCACCATAAAACATAAGATACTGATAAATGGATAGTTGCGTATAAACATATGTACCTTGATTACACCAGAAGGAAAAAGGTTTCCCTTGCATATATTTGATGACGAAAAGACCACTATCGTAGCTATAGGAATTAGTGTAGTTGTAATAATAGTGTCAACGAACTTAGAGATTACAACATTAATGCTTATTTAAAAATTAAGAACGACAATGTAGTGTATTACCTGTTGTCTTGGCGTGGCATGTCTTCCAACCATTGAAATGCAAACGAACTAATGTTTTGAACATGATCTTCTCCATGCGCATATTGAAGCAGCTTATGCAACGATTGTAGCTATTGGTGGTAGGTAGTAAGGTACATTGATCAAGAAACAAAAAAGAGGGTACACTTGGTATCATAATGGTTATTCTATTACCAATAATCTAGCTTGATTTTCTCGATCCTCATTGGTGTCAATACATTTGCTGGAGTCGAATAGATACACAACACGTTTTTCCATGTTTACGTTCGAGCACAACCAGTGGTTTTGCCCATGGTTGAAGGGCATGTAAATCTAAAAATATAACGTCAAATGTACATGCAAAAAATAAATAAATAAATAACATGGACCAAATGTTATTGTGCATGGTAAATTTGGAAATTGGGTAATAGTCGTATTTTATCATTTTACCTCCTTACAAGCATGAAGGGGGCCAGTGTATCTATAAATTCCAAAATAATCTTCTATTATGTCTTTCATTGTATCATCAGAAGGTTGACACAAAATCTTTTGCTGCATATTCAATTCGAACATATAAATAACTTGTGCCTATATGACCAGAGTCTTCAGGTATGGCTAATACTTACCAATACATGGGTCGGAAAGTACCAAACCATGTGATCCTTATTTGGAAACTTCTTCCTTTGTTTATTTGTTAACTTTACAACAATGAGATTTATAACTTGCAGTGCAAAATATATGAAATTTATGAGTAGGCAAAGTAAAGTAACTAGGATGATGGAATGGTAGCAAATAAAATAGGAGAAGGAGAAAAGTCTTACACATGAAGATATCCATTGATATGGTTTCAACGACCACAATTCCTTGCGAGTTGCAAATTGTGCTTCCACCTAGTGGAGTTTCATCCTCACAAGATATTCCCTTTCACATGGATAACTATGTGAGTTAGAAGGTATAGTACTTTATACATAACAAGTTAAAGGTAGTCCAATTGTACCCTTCTGGAAGAGCTTCATCAAATGCATAATGTAGGATGAGACTGTCATAGCCATTTAATGGGTTTGGCAAAGGCACGGATGACTTGTAAAGGTATTGAGAAGAATAGCGCATAAAACAAATCAAGCTTGGTTAGCGTATGTTCATAAAGATGGAGTTAGCACTAAATAACCACATATACAAAAGATACTATAATAGTTAGTTCCAAACCTTTGGGGTTTCAGGACCAACATTACCCCCAAGTTGATCAAGTAAATTATCAATTAGTTGATACAAGTAAACGAAAAGTAAGAAACAAACACTATTTGTTACACACAAATCAAATATGTTTCTGAGACACAATCATTTAGTTTACTTGATCGAGATTGTCATGATTATTATTGTGGACGTCGTTGTTCAATTGCGGTCTTTCTTCATTACATCGAATTTCATGAAAGGTGCACGCAGCCATTGACTGGCTTTGCAATTCTCGGTCCCTTGAGTCCGAGGACCAGAACAACACTACATGATGATGACATTGTTACAACATTAACTTCAACTGTGTTTGTATCGCTCTTTTTCGCGTGTGATCGCCCCTTTTGTGGAATAGAAATTCGTTCATTATTTAATGCTTTCCCACCATCCAATTTAGCTTGTTTCTTTGCAACTGCCTTTGCATTTGGTGGTGTGAGGATTGAATTTATTTTTCTCAAACGCAAAGTTTCCATTGGTTTTTTCTCATTCATATTCATTATCCCATCCTCATCTACAAACTTCGTGGAATTGGTTGGAACCTTTTCGATACCACTAACATTAAGATCAACCATTTCAATGTCAATTCGTTGCTCCGCAGGTTGTTTGCTTGGTGGTGTTTTAACTTGTCCTCCATCAAATGGCATGCGTTGTTCTAACAACTCAAGAATTTTACTAACTTGGTTCTCCAATTTGACCAGTCACTGCTCCGCAAGTAGTTTTCTTGGTGGTGTTTTAACATGTTCTCCATCTAATGGCATGCATTGTTCTAACAACTCAAGAATTTTTCCAACTTGATTCTTCAGTTTGGTCAGTCATTTTTTTATCCTCATCTTGCCTTGTGTCCTTATGGCCTTGTACCAAAAGGGCATGAATTTTAATGACTTGCTTCTCAACTTTGGCCAATTGGGAGTCATCATTGTTGTCAATTCTTCCCTCGCTCAAAGTTGGTGCATGCGACTTTTCAACAATGTTAGGCAAAAAAACCTATTCACACATATACAATAACTTGTTAATGTCACAGGTGCAATGTAAATTGAGTTACAATTATAAAAAGTCTTCTGTTGTAAATATTTACCTCAACATTTAAATATTCTCCCAAAACTTTAATTCAATTCAAACTCTGCTTAATTTCTGAATTACCCCACTAGGACAAGCGAGGGATGGGGTTGGAAGCACCTACCAACTCCCTTTTGCGAGCAAATTGTTCCAAGTAAAATAACTACATGGAAAAAAAAGTCATCTTAATGTGTGTTAGACAATATACAATAAAGATTAATAGATAAAATAATTACACATCAAGGGGAGGTACCATTAAAAGAAGCAAACAACCGCACACATATCAATGCGGTCGACAAGAAAATCAAGTGTGTGCTTTGCCCAATTAAATTGATTGATGGACTCAACATTCTTAACTGTTTGAATGAATGATTGGTGTACGCCTGTCTCCATGGTGGGGCACAAGAGGGCTCCTATGATGTATAAGACAAATTTCCTTTTAAATTCAGTTCCAGCATCTTTTGTTTCAATCAGATAAGATTTTAGAGATGTGAAGGGAACAATTTTATTCTTCACCGCAAGTTTAGCACATAGGTTTGTAATTTCATCTGCGGACTCTGCTAACTTCACAGGTAGACCATTGGAAGGTTATCCCATCAACTCATGAACATCTTCTACAGTGAGAAGCATTCGAAGACCGTGGACATTCAATGAATGAGTTGAAGGATCAAAGTTCTGTACTAACCAACAGCACAAGTCATGATCTATGTGCGTGCACCTAAGGCTTAGGATGCCATGAAACCCCATTTCAGTCACTGCTTCTTGTTGTGCTTTGTCCAGCCTTCTAATAATCTTACAAATCGATGTAAGCTCAATCCGTGTTTGAATTTTTACTTTTGGAGGCTTCTCTTGGACCACAATTTTTAATTGGTCATATCGTTCAGATTGCAACGTTCCCATTTGTATGTACTTATTTTTGTCTTCTTCGGGAAGTTGATTCCATCTGTGTCCAATATCCTACATTGCATGCATAAAATCATATGAACAATTACATACAAGCTTACAAGTACAAGAGGAATACTACAAGCAACAAGAATACGTTGCACTTACCTTCACGTCTACTTTCATTTGGGATTTTTTCATTTTCATTGATTGTTCTTGGCTATAAACATATGAAAATGAATATAAGAATGCATATAATGGAAAATATATAACTACATACAAATAGATATTAACGAAATACCAAAAGAAAATGAATGGAGTTATCGGGCGCTTTGGAGGATCAGTCGGTGTATCCATCAGGCTTCAATCAGAATTCCTTGTGAAGAAAGACAAGAAAAATAAACTTACAATATCTTCAATTAGGAAAAAAACAAACAAACAAAAATCTTAAAGGTTACAGTACATTCATTAATTGCACGACATGCACACATGAATGGATTTGTTTAATAGTAATGTAGTTAACAAATACTGAGGTTATGTTTCCAATGTAGAAAGGAAAAACAAATAGAAAAAAAATATCTAATCATAAACAAAAAATGATACCCCAGCTGCTTAGGTCACATTATTGTAATAAACAGAATAAAGAAGTTAATTTTTTAAGACGAAATTTGTAATTTGGTAAGGAAATTTTTTTGTCGCAAAAAGAAGCCAAATATTTTGGCACCATACGAATTGATAATAAAAACGACATCGTTTTTTATTTCTGGGACTGTTGTAGACAAAAATTAAAAACGATGTCGTGGTTATGTATAGCTCCTTTGTTGCTTCAAGTATTAGTTTAGGTGTACAGTCAGAAGGTTGAATATCTTTATTAACTGGTTTTACTTGCTTTGGTTTAGCCATGTTGTGGTTCACTTTCCCACATTTTATCTTGCTAATTTTTTTTTATTCTCCGCATGGGTTTGGGGATGGCCTGAACCACATAAAGCACTTGAAAACTCTAGTTGTTTAGGGAGGCAATTCGTTTTGTAGAATACAAACTCCAAGAAATTATAAAATGGGAGAATGATTTGATACAGTTGTATTCAGTAATATCCATACATTAACTAAAGATTTGATGCCCTAATTTACTCATAAGATTCTTTTTTATGATAGCAATCACTTAAATATTGTTTTGAAGTCTTTATGAGTAAAAGGGCAATTTATCACGTCTCATTCAAACTTAGATGGCATCTTCATTTTGTTTCTATGTAAAACATTTGAATTTATTTGTGAAGTGTGATTGGTCCTTTACCCATAAAGCATCTTTTGACTCTGTGTAGTAGTGTAAGCACATGCATTGTACGTCAATAAATTTAAATTGGTGCAAAGCTGGGAAAATCAATGGGAGAATTTACACTATTTTTGGTTTTATCGTTGACACACATTGAAAATGATTTACGTTGTATAAAGTTAAAGATTATTTACAGGCAGATTGACATTGTGTGAACTTATATAGATTTGATTTGGTTTGGTTTGGTTTGAGCGGTAGACATTTGGAGGTGGTTACTATTTAGATTTTGATCAATAACACCATTGTCGTATTGGCATGGGGTGCCCCGAAAGGAGAACACCATTTTGTTGTTCCTCTTATTCCCAAGTTGTGTCTACAATGAAGGGGATCCTCTTGCTAAAATGCATGCTATCTATTCATTTTTTGTGTGTCATGGGGAAACAAAATTTAAGGTATACTTGATTCTCAATATTCCTAACTTAAGAGAGAATGATAAATGAAAATTATTCGAACAAAACATTATTTACACTGTGCGTTTAGGCACTGGCATACAATAGTTAATGTACAAAATATATATAAAACAATTAATATATACAATAAAGGTCTTTTGAGGTCTGAGAAGTTGAAGGGTGTGATCTTCACAACCCTTGCTTACCGCTATAACCCTCCGCCACTCACAATTGAATCTTGGGCTGTGAATAGAGCTTCTCTTATATTAATGCTATGCCTATTATTTGATTTTATTATTTACATTTATTCTATCATTGATACTTTAGATTCATAATAAATAATACTAATATATGAGCACTACTACAAAATTGGTTAAAGGTCACAATTTTTAACTGTGACCTTAAACTTCTAATCTTAGTTTTTTTAATACAAAAATTTGATGAATGAGGGTGTGACTGTACAAGTTATAACATAAATATTTTGCTTTTTAATTTGGCCATCAGGCATGCCATACAATTTAGATATATTGAAGCTTAGAGGACCTTGTAGGACAAAATATGTACCTGTCCAAGAAGTAGTTCAGCAACAACACAACCAGCAGACCAGACGTCAATAGCTGTAGTGTACTCCGTCGCTCGAAATATAAGCTCAGATGTAAGCGGTATTGGGATCTCGTTATACCAGCCAAAAATAAGGAATGAAGCATTTCAACCAACACACAAAAGTAAGGGAGAGGGGAAAAAATTAAAAGACATAAAATATTAATGCTATGCTTATTATTTGATTTTATTATTTACATCTATTCTATCATTGATACTTTAGATTCATAATAAATAATACTAATATATGAGCACTACTGCAAAATTGGTTAAAGGTCACAATTTTTAACTGTGACCTTAAACTTCTAATCTTAGTTTTTTTAATACAAAAATTTGATGAATGAGGGTCTGACTGTACAAGTTATAACGTAAATATTTTGCTTTTTAATTTGGCCATCAGGCATACCATACAATTTAGATATATTGAAGCTTAGAGGACCTTGTAGGACAAAATATGTACCTGTCCAAGAAGTAGTTCAGCAACAACACAACCAGCAGACCAGACGTCAATAGCTGTAGTGTACTCCGTCGCTCGAAATATAAGCTCAGATGTAAGCGGTATTGGGATCTCGTTATACCAGCCAAAAATAAGGAATGAAGCATTTCAACCAACACACAAAAGTAAGGGAGAGGGGAAAAAATTAAAAGACATAAAAAAACATGCCAAAACTTTATAAATTCCAAAATGAAGTTATTAGTAGAAGAGTTAATGAGGTGGTGGGAAAATAGTATATACGAAAGGGCACCATTACTGATGGAAAAATGTGAAATAATTACAATTACACACGAGGGGTTATAGAACTCTAATACATATTAATTAGAATACATGTTAGAGTGTAAATCCTTTGAAAACTAGGCCAAATGTTATATTTTGCTAATGGTACACATCCCAAAAGGGGTGTAGTAGCATGACCATACATACCACTCATAAACCTATATAAACTCTGGTTTGGAATGAATCAATAAATCAAAGACCCCAAAAACAGAAGAACAATCTATATGTTTGGTTCCATTTTTCTAAAAACAGTTTCAGAAAATTCTATTTTTTTTATTTTTCGTGTTTTTTTATTTTTACTAATTTTTTTTTAATATTTTATGCAAATTTTTTATTTTTTAGACACACCTAACATAAATACACCTAAAAAGTAAAAAAATTGTAATTTTTTTTTTAAAAATTCACTAAATATCAAAAATACAAAAAAAATATAAGAATTCAGTATATTTTTTGTATTTTTATGTATTTCTTAATTTTTTAAAATATTTTTTCACATTTTTTTTTTTACTTTTTAGATACATCTAAGTAAGGTACATCTAAAAATTTTAAAAAAATGTTTAAAATTTTAAAAATATTCACTAAAAACAAAAAAATACGAAAATCAAAAAACTCAATTTTCAAAAAACTTAATCCAGAAAACTCAAACCAAACACACTGAATAATTTTTTAAAGGCATTTCTCTGTTTCACGTGTCTTCATGCTCTTGTAAAAAAAGCAATAAATAACAAAGAAAAAGGGGAAACCAAAAAAACAAAAAGAAAAAGAAGTAAATAGTCAGTCTTTGTGTTTTTCAAGTTTGATGGTTTTGAATGAAAATAGGTTTTTCTGGAATCAAGTAATTTTGATATATTTTTTTTATTTAATGGTAAATCATTATGGGTGTATTTGCTAGTTCGATATGCTGTGAGATGTGTTATTTGTCATGAATGTTGGGGGGTAATCCTATCATTACTCTTTTTCAATCCAGATGATTTTTTATTTTTATATTTTCTTTATTAATTTGCTTGTGTTTGTCATTGTTACTGTACTAAATTTAATTTACCTTATATGCTAAGAAGCACGGACACTTCTAAGAATGTAACGTATCCGTGTCGTATCCGTGTCGGACACCGACACTCTTTGGACACTTTCCCGACACGTGTCCGACACTCTTTAAAACGTGTCCTATTTTTTAAAGACCCGGACACTCTTTGGACACTTGGAGAATACATGTGTATCTCTTAAACACACGTGTCTATCAATTAGATACATGTGAAACCAATTATAAGTTTGAACAAAACAACTTAATATACAATAATAAAACAAAAATCATATAAATTCATAAGAATTATTGTCATATTTAACATTTTTATTATCTTTGAATGATATATTCATATATATAACATATAATAAATATATAAAATTATATATTTCATGCGTGTCCCCCGCGTGTCGTGTCCTGCATTTTTTGAAAATTAGCGTGTCGGCGTGTCCGTGTCGTATCCGTGTCGTGTCACGTGTCCGTGTCCATGCTTCTTAGCTTATATGTCTTGGCCTGTGCTTATTGAAGGTTTTTGTTTATTTCTCATTTTTTTAAAAGCTTTTGCATTACATATCCTCATGATTTTGTTGAGTTTGTACACGAGCTCTACAAGTTCCACCTTGAGGTACCATTCCAACAAAATGGCATGGCTAACTAGATCATATGGTTGGAGTCCCATCTTAGATAATCACATGGCTAACTAGAGCTAATGATTCTCCTAAAGAGGGAAAGAAAATTAAATTCTAAGCTTAAGAGTTCAAATTCAACTAAATTGCATAAATTGACAATGGAGATTAGAGTCAAC